CGCCGGCGCTTGAGGACACTGTGGGTGTCTAGCTGGTTCAAGCGGGCGGCCACCGCGAAGCGGTAGTCGGACTCCCAAAGTCCCCGAGGCCGCGTGAGGAACGCGCTCCCAGTCCCGCCGTGAGCCCGTGCCGTCTTGCCCTGGTCTCGCATCTCTGCCCAGCGCCGCCAGTGCTTGTGCTTGATGTGGAGTTTCACGTGCCGCAACACGGTGCTGTGCTCTAGCCACTTCTCGTGATGCGGCACGCGAAGTTGGAGCGTGGCCGCAGCAGCCCCGGTCTCCGTGCACGCAGGCGCCGTCTCGAGCTTGAGCTCGAGTGTGCGGAGATGACGCTGGACGTCGATCCAGAGCGAGCCAATGTCCCCGTTACGCCGATTCGGTGGTGCGTCCGGCGACGTGCCCAGCTGGGAGTTGAGGAGCATCGTGCACAGCTCCTCGTCGCGCCCCTCCCACGCGTGAGCGTCGAGCCGGTGTCGCGCGTCAGCGATCTGCCGGAGTTGCACGCGCGCGATGCGCCGGATGGCTGGGTCCTTGGCATGCAGTATCTGCCATCCGTGTGCGACTTGGAGCGCCGCGTGCAGCTCCGTCAGTGGCAGCAAGCCCAGTCCGCCGCGTGAAGTCGGCGCGTAGAGCCACTCCGCTGTGGCGGTGGCGGGCAGGCGAAGGAGATGGCGGAGGCCGCGCGCCAAATGCCTGTCGAAGGCCGCAAGTTGTTGCTGGAAGGGGCGGAGGTGGCGAAGTGCGTACTCCACCCGAGGGTAGAGGTACGTCTTCACCGCCTTCGCCACCTGCCATGGGGCAAGACCGGACTGCATGAGCGCTGTCGCGTCGTCCTTGAGCAGCTTGAGGGTCGGCGCGAGCTCGACGCGGCGGCGTACGTGGTCGAAGCCGTCGCCGATCCCCAGGTAGGTGTACGAGGCGCTCATGGACAGCGCGGGGATCGGCGAGCCGTCAAGCTGGAGCTGGAGGTCTTCAGCCTTGAGCACGCCACGATGGTCGCGTTGGACCGACATGGTGCAGCACTTTCCTGGATTTGCTGCCATGCCAGTCCAGCGCAGGAAGTCGGTCACGAGTGCGTGTTGTCGCTTGATGCCGCCTTCGGTGCCACTGAAGATCTTGAGGTCGTCGGCGTACGCCGAGGCACCGAGGCGGTCATCGCTTGAAAGCTGCACGCCTGTGTCCGGCAGTCGTTGCAGCGCAAAGAGCAGCGGGCTGATAGCAGTGTTAAATAGCTGCGGGCTGAGCGGGCACCCCTGGAAGACGCCGACACGCAGTTGGACTGGGTCCGTGGTGCCGTCCACAGCGTTCCCGACGACGAACGCTGCACTCTCGTAGAGACCCTTGCACATGGCGACGTAGTCCTCGGGAACGCCAAGTCGTGTCAGCGAGTCCCACAGCAGCGCGAAAGGTACGCTACCGAACGCGTTGCGGAAGTCGTACCAGACTTCAAAGAGGGTGCGGCGCTTGGCGGGCCTGGTCGACGAGCGTGGCCGCGAGGAAGTTGTGCTCCCCGCAGCCGTTGACCGAGCGGAAGCCTTTTTGTCCGGGCGCGTGACGGCCGTTGAGGTCTAGCCATCGCACCAGCCGCCGCGCGAGGACTCCAGTGTAGAGCTTGTAGATTGATTGCTGGAGGCATATGGGCCTCCAGTTCACTGGGTCTTCACGCGGGCCCTTCTTGTGGAGGAGGCGTACTACCCCGAGCTTCCAGCTCTGGGGTACCTGTTTGGACTCCCAGCACTTCTGGAAGGCTGCAGCCAGCACCGGTAGCAGTTGTGCTGCGAAGCGCTGGTACACGTCGTATCCCACGCCGTCGAGGCCGGGGCTGGAGGCGCCACGGACGTGGTGGAGCTGTGTCTCGATGTCGTCCAGCGTTGGTGCCTCCGTGAGCAGCTCCCGGGACTTCGATGCAGTCGGCAGTCGCGCCATAGCCGAGCGGAAAGTGGCTCCCACCGTTGCATCCGGAGCGAACTCCTGGCGTGGTGTGTTGACACCGTCGAAGAACCGCCAGAGGTCCGCGCCCGGGATGGGGCAGGTGCCGTCGTCTACGTCCGCAGCCACTGGCGGTGCTGGTCGTGGTGCTGCGTCGCTGCCTCGGCCAGCCGTCACCGCTGCCGCACGCTGCTCGGGCGCCTTGGCCAGAATGTCATCGACGCAGGCCTTCTCGTCCTTGTCGAAGCGGTTGCGCAGATGTTGCTGGGAGATGGCCGAATTGACGCGGCCCACGCGTCGACGGGCTCGACGGACAGCAGTGCGGTCGCCGGGTGAGGCCCTCTCCACAGCATGAAGGTCGTCCAGGGCTTCGTCGAGGCGGTGCTCCCGGTGGTGGCGGGTCACGCGAGGTGGTCGGTTGCGCTGGTGCTGCTGGGAGCGACGCTGGCGTCGACGTCGGTTGGTGCGGGGCTGCTGTTGTCGGTCCGTCTGTTGTTGGTGCTGGGGTCCGGGTTGGCGGTGACGCCGCGTCTGGGAGAACGGCTGAAGCCGTTCGTACAATGTGTATGGGAGGGCTGTGATGTAGCCCTCCGCCGTCTCCCAGTCGCTCGCATCAGCGATCTTGGACGCGAGCGTTGCCGCAAGTCTCTCAACCATGGCACCAGCAGCTTCCTGTTCGTCCTCTGTGAGCTGCCGCAAGCGGAGGCGCGGCCTGCGTTGTGGAACTGCGTCAGGTCCGACGTGTATGGGGGCGTACACCTCGCCATCGTCGATGTCGCCTTGGACGTCTGCGCCGTGGTGTCCAGTGTCTGTCGTCGGCGGAGGGGGTGGAGCTGGAGCCGCAGGTGCTGTGGGTGCCGTAGGTGTCGCGGCATCTACCGTGGTACAGGTGCATCCGCAGCCGTCAGCATGGACGCCACACTCAAGCTTGGTACGACGGCGGTCGAGGGCGGCGTTGGCGAGGCGGTCGGCGTGGCTGTTGTCCTGGCGATCAATATGGTGGAGCGAGAAGCTCCTCAGTCTCGCCAGCTCTGTCTTGACTGCCTTGCGCAACGCTCTGAGCCGGCTGCTGCGAGTGGCGAAGATGCCGCGCACCTGTTGGATGACGAGGGCGCTGTCACCTTCCACTCGTAGGTGCGTCGCTCCATGGTCGGCGGCCGCCCGGGCGCCGAGCAGCAGCGCGGTGTACTCTGCCGTGTTGTTGGTTTCGCTGCTGCTCGGCATGAAGTGGGAGGCGGTCCACACAACTGGGCCGCTGGGCTTGAACAATGCTGCGCCGGCGCCGCCTGGTCCTGGGTTCGCTCGGCAAGCGCCGTCGAAGCGCAGGAGCCACTCGCCATCCTGGTCGTTGTCGCGAGGTTCGGGCCCTCCGTCGTCCTTGGCCTCCTCGTCGTCCTTGGTCTCTTCGGCGTGTGTCGCCGGCGGGAGCAGGCGGTCCGCGATTCTGGACACCACCATGCTGCGTGGCAGTGGCGGTCCCCAGCGGGGCGCTGGGACTGCATCGAGGCGTGTTGCTATGCGCTCGGCGACCAGTTGTCGGGGTAGTGGTGGGCCCCAGCGTCCATGACCCTGCTGTCTGGAGTCCTGTGCTGCAACCTGTTGGGAGCCCGTCAGTGGGGGGGACGCTGCGGGCTCCGGGGTGTCTTGGCGGGGCGAGTCGAGTACGTCGGTGGCCGCCGGAACGGTGGCATTGACTGCATCAGCAGTGGGGTTCAATTCCCCTGCTGCTGGCGCAGTCGCAGCCGGAGGGGGGTGCGTGAGGCTGGCGCACGTTTGGGAGTGTTTTGCTGCCGCCAACCTCGACGCGAAGGGTGTGCCACATGAGCAGCTCGCGGAGAATTTGTCCCGGAAGACGACGCGCCGATGACGGGAGTCTCGGTGGCGTGTCAGCGCGGCGAAGCTGGCAGCCGAGTACACGCACAACGTGCAGTTGAAGCGCTGCGCGTTGTGCGCGTACACGGCGAGGACGGAGGCCGGACGGGCGCTGGCTGCAGGTAGCCTTGGCGCCGGGTCTTGAGTGCCAGCCTCCTCCTCCTCGAGCAACAGGAGCTCGGCCAACTCGCGCATGTCTTCGTCTTCGCCGTCATTCAGGCGGCG